GTCCAAGCGTTGGAGGGTCAGTTACCGCACCCGCTTTTAAGCATGGACTTGCTGGCATTCTTCAACACAGCCTCGATGGACATGGACGGTGGTCTGAATCTCGATAAAAGACATACAGCCAAACCTACACCCGCCAAAAATTTAACAGTGATGGTGGTGTACAAAGATTCGCCCTCCCCTGATGAAGTGCATCCCCAGCACTGCTTGTAATCAAGAGGAAGGCCGAGTCCTCCTGTCCTCTGCACGTAGCGGCATCGCCATCGAGAGAAAGTTAGAGTCCACCTCCTCCTGCCCCTGGAAAAGCCCTAGCGCTGGACATAGCTGAGCCACAACATCCTCCAATACTGCATGCACCACAGCAAGCCAGGTAGAGTCCTCCTGCCCCTGGAAATCCCTAGGACAGGGGAAGCGGCATCGCCATCGAGAGAAAGTTAGAGTCCACCTCCTCCTGCCCCTGGAAAAGCCCTAGCGCTGGACATAGCTGAGCCACAACATCCTCCAATACTGCATGCACCACAGCAAGCCAGGTAGAGTCCTCCTGCCCCTGGAAATCCCTAGGACAGGGGAAGTGCATCCCCAGCGCTGCTTGTAATCAACAGGAAGGCCGAGTTCCCCTGCTCTGCACGTAGCGGCATCGCCATCGAGAGAAAGTTAGAGTCCACCTCCTCCTGCCCCTGGAAAAGCCCTAGCGCTGGACATAGCTGAGCCACAACATCCTCCAACACTGCATGCACCACAGCAAGCCAGGTAGAGTTTTTTTGCCCCTGGAAATTGCTAGGACAGGTAGAGTCCTCCTCTGCCCCTGGAAATCCCTAGTACTGCACGTAGCTGAACCAAGGTAGAGTCCTCCTGCCCCCTGAAAATCCCAAGCGCTGCACGTAGCTGAACCAATACTGCACGCACCAAGCATTCTACAACACAGAGTGGGTAGCTTACTCGCACTGTCCGCGCACGACATCCCAAGGATATCCGGGCACACCCACGTGACCTGTTCTGCCTGGGTGTGCTCGATCCACTCCCCGCATTGTTCCGGTACCAGATGTCCAGTTCAAAATGCCAATGGTTCGCCCCGCAAAATTCCCCTCTTGGCCAGAAGGCGAACAACAACTGCTGCCCCTTTTGGGGCGGCATGGCATCCAGGCCGCGTCTGCCTGGGCTGAGCGCCAAAAAACTGCAAGAATACAGTATGAACTGGTTGGCCCTTGAGGTTGGCGACGCAGGGCAAACTGTGTCACGACCCAGTAGCGCGTGGAGAGTAGGTTCACAAAATGCGAATATCGACGTTGCTGGTCTGCTATGCGATGCGCATGGAAACTGCTCACACAATAGCTCTGGGTAATCAGCTCCTGTTGGCTTCTGTGGGCATAAATCCGCCAGTCCATCAGGAGGATTGCGACCTGAGCGGCCTGGGCGGAATGCCCCCATTCAGCGATTCGGATCCACGGGTCTTACTCCCGGCCCCGCGAGGTGTGACACAATGCGGAGCCAGCACGCGCAACAACGCTGGCCATGCGGTCTTTAAAAAAATTAGCAGAAGGTACACAGGCGAACACAGACCAAGTTGAAAAGCGAAGTGAGCTGTTCAGCACCTTGTCCACTGGTACAGCTTGCAATCCAAGGATTTCACAAGCTTGGACAAGCGTGTCGAACCTGCAGTAATTTGAAAAAATCGGATGTCTGCGACACGATAGCAGCCTGGCAAGCAACGGGTCCTTCGCATGGCGATGCAAACGAGGACTCGATGCACTTGCCCCATTAGGTAGGATACACTCCTGACGTGGCTGGCTATGCTCAAGGGCACGGCTCCCACGTCCTTTATGTTCCTCACCCGCTGCACCGTGCTCTGTGAAAAACGGCTGATTGCCCTATGTCCCTCAATGGCGAGCGACTCCTGCGAATCGCCCCCGAAGAGGGCCCCGGCAACAGTCAGTTGTTATTTTGAGCAGCGCATGCCTGGGCGCCATGGTTGGAGCGACTGCACGACATGCACTCACGCTCCCCTTTCCTGCATGCAGGCGGGTTCCTTGAAACGGTCTGGGCGTGTCCACTCGCATTGAAAGACCAGCACATGGGCTCTATGCCCAGCTTGGCCTTCAGCCTCTGTGCTTTGGCCCTGACCGTTCTCTGCGGATGAGGCCCAATTGAAAAACTTTCTGGTAGCATTTGAACTAGAACAGGCAGGCGCTTCCTTGGTAGCCGGAAAAACCTGTGCCTCTGAATGGGCTGCCGCCAACGTGGACGCCTCTGAAAGCAACAAGCGCAGGTGTGCTAAATCACCCAAGCTGGGCGACTCCCAAACTTTCCCTGCCAGCTGCTCAAACTGCTCTTGCCCGGGGGGCCCTTGCGGAGTCCCTAGCACGAAGGCCAGTTGAGCAAAAGTCTCAACCTGCTCAGCTGCCAGACCTTTCCACAGCTCCCCGCTATGGTCCAATGCCACGCATCTCTGTTTAAAGGCTGCACTTGAATCAACCAGCGCCATGTCCCTGAGACACGCCGGTCCTGTAACTTGATGCGACAAAACTCGCAAGCAAGCATGAAACAAGCGCACCTGTAAAAGAGGAAGTTTGTTCAGCCATCCCCAAAGAAACAGAGCAACAAGGGTTTCACAATGGGGGGGGGCGACCCCCAAACCATGGAGAAAAACGGCACCAGAGCGCAAACCGACACAGCATTTCACTGCGCGCGACTCGGTCTGGTTACGAATTAAAGCCAGGCCTCGAAACACATCCGGAATTTAGGTGTGTCCCCTTACAAGGCCCTGGATCCCCATGGTTTGGACCTTTGGTCCTGCCACGCAAGAAAAACTCTGCGCGCGGAAGTCGCAACATGGTTTGCTGCCAGGCCCCTCCACAGCGCCCCCTTTGGTCCACTGCCTCAAGCGCCTGTGTAAAGCGTAAGAAACATCAACTCACACGGCTGCCTGCTCATCGTGCACTCGGTTCCCAGGATTTGGAACTGAAAGTGGGCAGACTTTTGAGGGCCCCCGTGCCACGCAATTGCCTGGTGCACGCAAACAAAATGACCTGAGCATCATTGTCGCATGACAAGATCATGCCCTTTAATTCATCTGTCCTTTCAGACCCCAACTCATGCACTGCCCAAGACCAGAATGAACGAATCCATTTGGCTCCCGGGAACTGAATGGTTGCAACTGGCTCAAACCTGCCTGCGTCAAGCATCACAAGTTGCCCGTTACATCGCTGGCCCCAGTTCCGCGACCCCAGATCCCGTGGTCTGTATTTCTCCAAAGAGACCTGGCAGATAATAGCAATGGCCAGCTGGAAAAAGGCTAGCCTCCCAAACTCAAACCTCTCCAGGTCCATTTGTCGAGCCTTCTCCGCCACCAGGTAGTGCGCTCTGAAAAACTCGCCGCCAACATTCAGTTCCGCCGGTCCTGTTGCAAAAATATTGCAAACTGCGGAGGCTCCTGTTCTGGCAAATTCGGCCTCGCGCTGGTTGGCTTCCTGCCAGGCCAGCTTTACCACCATTGAGTCCGGCTTCTTCAAGGCCATAACCATCCTAGTCCCCCCCGAAGCCAAGAAAACTGCTCCGTCGTCAATGATGTCCAGCGCAGGCAGCCGAACACAATGGCACCCTGACTCCGGAATCCCCCATGGGTTCCTCTCTGTCTTAGCAACTTGCGAGGCGCATAAGACAACAAGAGTGTCCGGGCCCCGCGCCGTTTGAACCGCTCCTGCCTCAACCGTCAATAGCTGCTGGTCAGCTGACCGTGAAGGGGATACCAGGCCAGAAAAATGCGAGGGGTGGCCAACGTCTCCTTGCGCATCGCGCTTCTCCTTTGGCTCATCTTGTTTGGCAACATCTGAGATCGGGCCAGATTCCACTTCATCCTCACCCGAGCCTGAAGCAGGCCGACAACCGCGCGGCAGAAGCAAGAGCGTGGAATCCAAACTTTGTGACACTTCGTTCGCCCTGCCATGGGGCACTTCTGAAGGTACTGCCCGCATAGTTGTACTGCTCATTGGAACCGTGCTATAATCGACCGCCAGGCTGCCTCTAATTTCCTGCTCCAGCCGCTGTTGCCTACGCCTTGCAGTCCACCTCGTTCTTGCGGGCAAGACTCCAGCCAGGCTTACTGTTCCCAAAATTGGATCCAAGGGTGCTTCAACAGGCGCTGGAACCGGTCGCATCACCGGACCCCCCGGGGGTGCATCTGCTAGCCGCGAATTCTCCCTCGCTTTCCTAGCCAGTTCAGTGCCCAAAAAATCATCTGCGCCCGCAAATTGAGCTGAAGACTCCCCGCCGCCTGGAGGTATACTCGAAGCATATCCAGGTGTAGAAAAATCCTCGCCACTAGCCCCGCTCGAAGCTTGTCCAGGTGCAGAAAAATCCTCGCCACTAGCCCCCTGCAAAACCGGATTTTCTGCCAGCGCTTCGCTGCCTCGCGGAGGCCGCTCGGGTTCTGAAGGCCGCCACCATCCTGGAACTCCTCGCGAACGCGAACCAAAAAACCATATAGAGCGGCGCTCCATCCCGGCTGCAAGGCTATTTCAGCGGAAAGCGCCGGGACACCTGCGTGAGGAAAACACGTGAGAATCTCTGGTTCAAATAACTGCCAACGTTGTGGAACAGCTGTTGCAAACGCCGAACACGAAAGAATTGGATAACCAAATTCCTCCAGCGCGTCACTATGATTGTTCTGCGACGAGAACAGCACGCGCCCATGGCATTTCAAAACGACCGTGTAGGTCACCCTCCCTCCCACCCTGAGCCAAAGCCAGGTGTCACACATAAGTACAAATCCAGAACATGTGTGTTCAAAAGACTGGGGCTGTTTGCAAACTGAAGTGCGAACTAAACACTAAAGTGTTTTTTCCTTTTATTCGAATAAGGAGATGATCCCTGCGGGAGTCACCACATAAAGCTTCAGCGGCTTCGAACAGACTTGCGTAGTTCTGCTCTGACTCTTGGTGCATGGTGGCCTGCAAGAACGGCATTGCGTGCGTAGTGTGCGCTCGCCCTTGCACGCGGCCTGTCTCCTGATGGCACAAGTTCGTGTTTCGCAAGCCATCTTTGACCAGGAGACTCAGCGTGGCAACACCCATGCCGCCAGTCAGCACTTTCATCTTGGCGTCCACTGCCAAGTGCACAACATCGCCCACATAGCGACGCAGCGTGGCCAACATGCCACGACATGTGTAGGCGACAAAGACACGCTGCTCTGACACGTGCACAAAGCCCTCAAGCAAGTAAAGCGCGTCAACAGTTTCACCGCTTCGAGGCCAATCGGACAACGCTGCCACAGTTGGCGCCACGGTCACGCCTGCGTCTGACTGACGCTGCTGCTGGCTAACGGGTGTTCTTTTTTGATTTTTCATCCACGCACTGAACTGCTCCAGCGTGGGCAAGTCCGCAGACTTCAAACCCTTGGACAAGAGATGGTCCCGCAAGCTCTGCGCGTTGCGGCTGCCTTTGGGCGTGAGTTCCAAGTATTGTTGGGCCGCCTGCTGCTGCTTGGGAGTGAACAACTTCCCGGGCCTCGCGCCTGCCACGCCCTCACCGTGCTCGTGTTCTGCAAAAGTTGTGATTAGCAGCGTGCCAGCTGCGTGACCCAGATTTTGCAAAAAGTACGTGCTTCTCCAGCGTTTCGGGCAGTCCGGACTCTCGCGGCAAGAAATGTTATGCACGCGTTTTTCCAGGCAATGTGCACCTGGTGCCGATGCTCCTCCCACTCAGGGCGTTTGTGCAGCACAGCCACTAGCTCCTGCTGCGACAGCAGCACCCCGCCCAAGTCGGTTGCGGACACAAACTCAGACCGCGCCGCTTGCCGCTTGAATCGCGTCGCAGCCCCCCTCTTGCCTGGTGGCTCCCGCACTTGCGTGGGCAGCAATGCACTGTCTGCTGGATCACTCTCCCCGCAACGCGGCATGACCGCAGGACGCTCTGTCTCTGGGACCACACTTGCCAACATGCCGGGCACTTGCGCTGCTAGCAAGTCCACCTCCCGCTGCCTCCCCGCCGGCCCAAACACGAACAGGGGCACCCGCTGACGGCGCAGCCAGCGCACTGCAGAGTCAGGCAGCCCGCGCCTTACATGCTGCTCTGCTACTTTGCGCTCAAACTCATCCCCACGCTGCAAGATCCGACTTAGGCCCAACTCAACTCGCAAAATATGGTCCCGAGTGCAGGGTTGCCACGCAGAAGCTTCAGGATTGTGGTTGTAAGGTCGCCCTTCTCCTTTGGGAGCGCGCGCTCCGCTGCAAGCCACGCAGCTTCTTGGGCTGACACACTCAACACTGCGTGGCCAAACACGTACCGGCGGTGCACAAAGGCAGCCGCTGCGCAGAAGGCTGCGTCAGACACTACTGTGGGTAGCTTTTCCGGCACAGTGCGGGCAAGAGCGTGCGACCAGCAGTGTTCCATCAAATGGTTGAGCAACAGGCTGGTTCCGAACCAGTACATGGTCTTTGGCATGGCCTGCCGGAACACTTTGCGCGCAGACTCCCTCCCTTCAAACAGAGCGCGAATTTGCCCTAAGTTGTCAACCTCTTCCTCCTGCTGCGCTGTGAGCTCAAAATTTTCCGGCGGTGCCGGTGTGTGCGGGCCCACACGGTGCAAAACAATAGTGAAGAGCTGCTCGAGAATTGGCAAGGTCACGCTCTGAAAGAAAGCGTTCCACTTGGTACATGCTGTGCACTGGCGCACTCCAAAAGACAAGAGGAAGGCGGCCAACCCTACTGCGCCCAAAACTTGGCAAACACATCCTCTTGACCGATCAAAACAAAGTGGACGAAAGTGTGCGCCAACGTCAAGCTTACTGCCTCGGGCACAGCCTTGCTTGGACATGGTGGGGCTGCTGCGGCCTTTAGAGCACGCTCACGGTCTGGACGGTTGCTCCAAGAAAAGAGACCGCCGTGCGCAGCGTTGAGAAACAAGGGCAAGTGCTTCGCAGCGACAGCCACCGGTTGCCAGCTAAGCACAGCCCACTTTCGTCGCTGAACATCGTCAAGCTTTAGCACAGCAGACGCAGTGGCGCTGGCCTGTTGGAAATGCAGCTCCAACGGCAAACGAAGGGTTGGCGCTCCATCGCGTCAAACAACGGCTGCATGGCGGGCGACTTTGCCTGGCCTATGTCGGCCGCGGCGGCTGTCCAATATCTGTTGCGAGTTCCAGCGGGCTTCAGCCGCACGTGCAACTCCTTGTGCAAGATGCTGCTAACTGGAGCGTACACAACATCTACATAGAAGACTGCAGGCATGTCGGTCGTCCACGAACTTGCTAACAGGACTAGCAACGGGTAGGGCCGTGTCTCCTAAATACGGCTGCACGTGCATGGCCCCATCTTCGCACAAGTCTGCGAACTCCGCGTGCCATGCGTCTGCTGCTGCCGACAGAGACCGCGCTTCGTGCCGGAACAAGGGCAAGTTGGACAGGAAACTCCGACACCAGGCCCGCTTTTAAAAGCTCCAACAGCGCGCGGGCATCTCGCTCCAAAGCATCCTGGCCTTCTCCAACTGGCATGTGCTCCCGCCAATGCCGCCATTCCCCAAAAAGTTCTGGCCACATCTAATGTCCACCTCACACTCGTTGGCGCTGGCCTTTCCGCCAACTTGGCTGTCTTCAACTCGCGCACTCCGACCCATGTTCGCTGGCGGCACTGGACGCAGCTGGGTACATGGTTGCATCTGCTTCGGCAAGACCAGCGTACGCCACTGGCTGCTTGTGCTCGGCAGAGTGCCCTGTCAGGCTGCTCTGTCTTTCACAGTCTCACACGCTCTCTCATGCACGATGAGGCGCACAAATCTGCACGCAGCTCATACTCTGTATTCGCTTCATCTGGCCAACATTCGGTCTGGCAGGGTAACTTTGTCTGCCGCACAGGCTTTCTGCCATGTTCCCGGACCACGTTGAACACCAAAACTCCTCGTGCAAACAGTGCGTCTACAACAGACTGCGCGCGGAGCTGAGCGCGCCGCGCCGCAATGTTTGGCGGCTCACTTCAAAACTCTGCCCGCTGCACAAGTTACAGCGCCCAGTCCGTGAGAACTACTCCCCTTGTCCGGAAACAAACCTATTTTGCAGCTCAAGCCTTGTCCACGCAGACCCACACACCTTTAAAAGATTGTCTAACACTGGGGCTGCTGGCGTTGCAACTGTCAGTCTGCAGGCTGCTCCCGCAGTCCTGGCAAAACAACAGGCCGCCATGCATTGTCCCACCTGCGTTACGCCTTCATACTACACTCCAACAGAGGCTCTGCGGCGCTCTCGTCGTTGCCCATGTCCGCCCAGCACACCATGCCTAAGTTCCAGCACACCATGCCTACAATTCAGCCCTTTCCCTTACTTCCACAGTTCAAAGATTGCCGGCTGCGGTATCTCTGGCTGCGCGCGAGAAACAAACATGGCATCACACCACTCTAGAAACTTATGGTGTTCCAAAAACGCAGCGCATGCACCTTTACACGTCCTGCGAAGAATTTCAAGTCCAGAATTGCTCCTGCAGCCACGGCGCTGCAACGTAACGCACCCTCGATTTGCTTGCAATTTGCCTTGTAGCCTCACTTCTGCACGCCAACTTTTTTTTGCAGGCGGTGTGTAGAAGTGAGGCTGCGTGAATTCCTGCGCAAGCTTTGCTGGGTCCGTAACTGCAATATTGTTGGAGTAGGCAACCCTTGTGCATACCATCCCTTCCTCTGCCGGGTCCTGGATTTGAAAATCTAAATGCTTCCATCTCTGGTAGGCAGTCTCCGCGTGCTTTCTGTGCCGGTACTCTCTGGGCCGGACCTTGGATTTTTTTTATATAAAAATCTAAATGCTTCCATCCCTGGCAGGCAGTCTTCCGCGTGCTTTCTGTGCTTGGACTCCTCCGGGCCGGCTTTCCGGTTAAGTCTCTTGCCTCTGCCGCCGCAATCTCGTCACAGAGCGCCGCTGGAATGCTGTACAGCAGCTCACGGGACTGCCTGCGAACGTTCTCGTAGCGCTGGCCGATTTTCCGGGGACCCCTTTGTGCGGCGCGTGCGTGCCTGCCGTTCTCCCAGGCCTCGCAGCGGTTGCCGGGCCCGCAGAGTCCGCAGCTGGGCGCCCAGCGCATGTTCGTCCAGATGCCACAACTCACCCATAAACTTCAGCTGCATGCCTTAAAAGGACGCATGGGGAAGATCAAGCTGTTTCCTACGACAGAGTATAGCAGTAAGCAGCCCTCTGACCCCGTGGTGCCCCTGGTGCCATGCACGGGCATCTTCCTCGGGCCATCAAAATCGGGCAAAACCGTGGCTCTGATCAGCCTGATTCTGGAGCAGTATCGCGGCGTCTTTGAGAGAATTTACGTCTTCAGCCCGAGTGTCAACATAGACGACGGCTGGATACCCGTCAAGAAGTACATTGAGGAGGACCTGGGGGTGAACACAGAGCGGGAGCAGACGTATTGGGACGAGTGGGACGAGGCGGCGCTGCGGCGCATCATCCAGCAGCAGCGCAAGATCACGGAGGCGTCCAAGAAGTTGGAAATGAAGAAACTGTACCAGGTGCTTGTAGTCATCGACGACTTTGCTGACACGCCGCAGTTGCACAAGCCTCACGGCGCCCTGGATACGCTGTTCATCAGGGGCCGGCACATGCAGATCAGCACCTGGGTGAGTTCCCAGAAGCTGAGGCTCATCAGCGCCGCCGTGCGGGTCAACATGCAATTCCTCTGCTGCTGGAGGCTGCGCAACCAGCACGAGCTGGATGCCGTCATCGAGGAGCTGAGCGCACTGCTGCCGAAGGAGCAGCTGTACCGGCTGTACGAGCAGGCGACCCGAGAACCTTACAGTTTCCTCTTTGTGTACTACCTGAAGCCGAAGAACGAAATGTTCTACAAGCGCTTCGAAGAGCGTTTCGCGCTTGAGAAAGACTCCGATGGGGGCAGCGCTCAGCTTCCTGGGCCCGCTGATCAACGCGAAGTGTGAGAACATCTCCTGCTGCGCTTCCGTCGCAGCTGTCCAGTCGCCCGTCGTTCGCCGGACGGGTGGCTTCCTAAAGAAAAGGATGACGACGATCTACGTGGACAGCCGCAAGAGGGTGGCCGGCTCGGACAGCGACTTTGAGGTCGACCTGGGAGAGTCGCTGCACCTGCAGAGCGACGCCCGGCTCGCCGTCTACAAAATCCGCCTGGCCGACAGCTTCCTGTCCACGGACCGCGGCCGCTACCTCTACTCAATTAACGCCGCGCTCGGCACGCTGAATTGGGCGCTACTGCCCGAGGGCGCTTACACGGGCACCCGGCTGGCCGCCTGGGTCAGCTCCAACTTTGCCACCGCCACCTATAGCGAGACCACAAACAGTCTGAGCGTTGCCTACGACGGCAACCGGCTGATCCTGAACGACCTGGAGCTGCACCAGCAATTTCCTAACGCAGCGGACTACCCTGCTGCGCCGCCCGCCTCTCCCACCAAGCCCTTCAGCGTGGACCACATGCTGGGCCCGAGCTTCGTCTCCGGCGGGCAGCAGGTCTTTGAGTTCGTCCGCATGATGGCACACAACCCACAACGAGGTCTACCTGCGCTGCGCCCAGCTGGCCAACGCCAGCAGAGTGCTGGGCAACCTGGGCGACGACATCCTCTCCAAGATCACGCTGTGGGTACCATTGTGGAGACGGGCTCAGACGACGGGCACTTCATGGCCCTTAGGGGCCCGGTTACCCTGAGGCACATGCGCTTCCGGCTGACCGACCTGGACGGCAACGTCGTCCGGCTTCGCGGGTCGTCATTGTCGTTCGTGTTATATCTTGACCACGTATAATTAAATGGAGCCGACCGAACAAGAGGTGCAGGAGGCGGAGGCGCAAGAGGCGCACGCTGCGCCACACGCTGCGCCACACGCTGCGCCACACGCTGCGCCACACGCTGCGCCGGACGCTGCGCAGGACGCTGCGCCGCCGGAACCGAAACGGCGGGGCAGGCCCCCTGCAGCAAAAACAAACCGAAGCAGACGTGCCTACTGAGCCGGCTGCTCCAAAGCGCAAGCCAAAGCCTCCACTTGAGACGGTCGCCGGCGGATGGCACAATCATAGGCACCGGCTTGAGGCTCCACCGGAAGGCGCCTCCAGCTCCGGTGGTTCCACAAGACGTACCCCAGCTATAACTTGCAGCCGCTGCTGCTGAAGCGC